TCACCTACTAGTAAACAGACATAGAGCTTTCTATCTGCTCTCATTCACTGTCCCTTTCTCTCTCATTATACATTCATTCTCCCTGCCCTCTCCTCTTTCCCTCCCGTTTCTCTCATGGTGACTAGCACCTTGCTCCTACACAAATGAACTTCCTTACCTGCAAGGTAACATCTCCATTCCTTAGGGACATCACTGCTCACTGACTCCAACACTACCTGTCACCCCAGTTGTTTTCCTGAAGTCTATTAAAACAATCCATTCAGCTGGGCACTGGTGGTTCACACCTGTAATCCCAGCTACTCAGGAGGCTGAGATCTGAGAATCATGGTTCAAAGCCAGCCTGAGCAGGAAAGTCTGTGAGACTCTTATCTCTAATACTAGAAAACCGGAAGTGGCGCTGTGGCTCAAGCAGTCGAGTGCGCTCGCCTTGAAATGAAGAGCACAGGGACAGTGACCAAGCCCAGAGTTCAAGCCCCACAACTAACAAAAAAGAAAAGAATCCATTCAAAATTAGATTATAAATCATAAAAGCATTCTTTGTGTCACACAAAAGGCAAAGAAGATATCCCACATTTATTGTAGACTGTTATTAATTTGGGGATCCTTTTAGACGAGTTGTACTTGGGCTCAAAGAAATAAAAAACACTGAAGCCAGGCATGGTGGTACACATCTATCATTCCAGTTAGTCAGGAAGATCAAGGCAGAATGTACAAGACAAGCCCAGGCAGTTAAGTGAGACTCCATCTCAAAAGCAAAACACAGACAAGACTGGGAGAGAGGAGGTTAGCTCAAATGGTAAAATATACACCTAGCGATCTAGCATGTGTAAAACCCTGGATTTACAGGGGGAAAAAATAAGAAAAAAATAATAAGCACAAGTGCATTCCCTTGAAAGATTCCTAAGTCCTCTTCAATACTCATGTGTCCACAGGAAAGCCACTCTGTCATGGTATTGTCACCAGACCAAACTTCATAATGAAATACCACATCATTCCTTTCCCAGATATCCTGCCATATTAAGAACACGAATCCAGTATCTATCCCTCAGTGGAATACACCTGAAATCTAATTCTAAGTAGCTGTCAGCCAGCCTTGGTCACCAGCCTGATCACGGTGGGGCTTCAGAAGCTGTGACTGGCTGCTTGAGCCCTTCCTTGAGTCTTCTAACAGTTCCTGAGTGCCTATGTGTTTCATTCCTTTGAAAACTGCAGGAGGTTCTACATCAGTATGAATTAAGAAGCACTGCTTTAAAACACTGGACATGAACAAAGACCCCAAGATACATTAAGTATCCCTATCCGAGGGGGAGGGGCAGGGTGATTTACAGGAAGCCTCTTCAGCAGCCCAGCTGTACTGCAGGTGTAGAGCTAGCTGCATGCCTAGGATGCCTAGGCCAGATCACCATCTCAGGAAATCAAGCTTCTGACTGTGTGGAATAATAGTGCTGTAAGAAATTTAAAGCACCTTTTTTTTCCTCCCTTGAAAGTCACCTTCTATGCCATCCCATCCAAGGACAGTTGACCTTCACTTTAGAAATGGTCAATACCATACAGAATTTACCTTTCTCTCCTACTCTGTGAAGCTGGATCATGCCCACGTGCACACATGCATGCATGCATACATGCACGAGCGCGCGTGCGCATGCACATGTACACATGCACACACACACACACACACACACACACACACACATTTAAATTCCAAAGGAGATCAGTGATTGGGTGGTTTGACTCAATTTTGGTGGAAAAACTGTTGCTTCCTGACAGGAGAGAACTGCTAAACACTCTCCAAAGGTGGCACAAAGCATAGGAAGGACTTCCACGCAGCAATGTGAGATACAAACTAGGTCCTACAGATCTCACTGTCCCCCTCCAGGAAAATGGTCTCACTTTCTAATAACCTGAAACTGCACTCACGTCAAGCCTGGAGTGACTCACAGTACTATTTGAGCAACTCAGAATCCTAGGAGAAGCGCCTGAGTACACTCAGTGCACACAGAGCAACACAAGAAGCTATACATTTAATGCTCTAAGGAGACCTTAATCTCACACTAGAGCTCTACAGAAGCATTCCATATACCAAAACTTTACACAAACAACTCTTCCATGCTCCGACACTGGTCCAGCCAAAAAATATTGTCTTACATTCTGTAAAATCATTTGAAGGAAGGAGATGTCAATTATTGCCATCCTGACAAAAAGGACAGTACCCATACAAGTGTACTAGTTTAATACCAGGGCAACAAAATTCTTAGACGGACACTGGGCTTTTTGCAAGGCAAGCCTCAAATAATTTTACATTTTTCAAAAAGGAGAGAAAAGGCATGTAAAGAGAAGGTATCCCTGGCTGAATGGAATTGGTTCTGACAATGTACAACTTCCCTGACATCTTTTCTTAGAATGGTAGCCCAAATCAAATGATGCAACTCCTGGACCTTAATCTTTATGCTATGTGATCACAGGAAATAGCAAAATTTGAGTAGCCTATATGATTAAGGAAACAAAACCCCAAAGGATCTGCAGAAAAAACTAGATTGGTGTGTTTACTCATGTTGACAAGCAACTGGTCTGCCAAGAATTAAGAGCAAGAAAAGAATAAAACCCTTTCTCCAAAGCTCATACATATGAATGCTCTCAGTGGAAGCACTGTACCTGGCAGGTAGGGAGAGCAGACCTGGCTTCTGGAGCATCTCAAGGAAAGCCAATCTACCAGGAAAATAGGGGGGAAAAAAAAGTCTGCCTCAGTAAATACTTCTTTTCAAATGCAGCATTGTAGATGAAATAGCTTAGCTGAATTAGCATGTTTCCAATAGCTTATCTCTCAAAATATTTCAGATATATCCTAATCTTGAGAAGACTTTAAAAAATCAGATGTTATAAAATCATAAGCATCTTCTTGAACCGCATACATCACCCACACACACATATATATACCACTACAGGTAACAAATGTGTGCATACATAGTACATATGTATACTGCATTTAATATGCACACATTCTCATCTGTTACACTACTGCACCTTGAAAATTAAATGAAGATGGAGAGGCAGCTAAGTTTAAAGGGACTTAAAGCTACTTTAAAGTCACTTAAAATGTACCTTTCAGTTTGTCCCAAAATATGTAGTTCTATTTTCCCCAAATACAATTAAGTGAGTTCAGGTAATGGGGGTTGGGGAAGAGATCATGAGAGTTCTACTTTAAAAGACTGTGAGACAACTTCAACTTCATTATGCCCAAAAGCTTACTGCCAATAAACAGAATGGGTATATGAGAAATAATTTGCAAGATTTCCAACCTGATACCCGCGTGCTTCTTTCCCACACTCCAAAGCCTCAGACATGGAGATAGGGACACAGGCTTGTTAAGCAGAAGCCTCCTTAGTAAATACATGTTAAATTTCCCAAGCACTTCAAAAGCTCTTTCCCAGATTTGTCTGTCCCTCTCCCCTTTAACTACATCTTAGCAGGCTCTAGGAGCCTGGATAAAAGGCATTCCCAATACCAAACACACTACCTTGGATTCAGTATGAAATTGAGAGGTGAGGGGGAGTAGACTGAAGATTTCAAAACTTTACTTGACCTCAAACTATGCTCAAAACAGCTAAAAAGGTGACCAGTCTGCAACCTTTTCTCTTTTTTTCTCCCCTTCTCTATCAGCAGAAACAATTCATCTGCAAACAAATGCAGCTTAGTTTAACCTGAGCACCAGTAAACAACTAAGGGGAAGCCAGGAAAATCAAGAACTACCCTCACACTCCCTCTCCTAGACAATTCTGCTGGCCATTTTCACATCCACTCTACTGGTTTTATTTAACCCCTTATTTTCTAAAATGTTATTAAGATTTAGAATAGGTATCTGGACAAACTATTCATGAACCAATCAACTTTTCTCACAGCTAACCTGAGTACAGCTCTGTCACCTGATCCATGGAGGCCTAAAATCTCCTAAGGGCAGGCAGCTAACAGTGTGAGCCATGTCTTCTTACAGAAGCCGTGTACCTTAAGGGTTGTTTTCCCCAGTGTAATTTTGTCCAGTGAAATTTTCTTCTCTCTCTTGCAAATGCAGACAGGCTAAGGTTTCAATGAGATCGTCCCCCCTCCCCCCCCACCCCCGCGGTAGAGCCAGCCAGCCAGCCAGTAAGGTAGGTAAGCTCTTGACACCAAGAGCATCTCCAAGTGGTTTTTTGGGTAATCCACCAGGCATGCGGGTACTTCACAGAAAGACAGAGGGCTGAAAAGCTTGGTCTTGGGTAAACAGAATTCACACACGGGCCTGGTTACCAAAAACAACATAGGCAGCCCAGGAAGCTAACTCGGTTTTCTAGAAGTGAGAGTTAAGACCAGACGTTTGCAGCCATCACACGCCACCCAATTTTTACCTGTCACTAAGGAAAGGGCACGTCTACCCCAGCAAGTCATTTTCTGCAGGGGGGGGGGGCAGCGGAGTGGAGTCGGTCGCAGTTTCAGGGGCTGCGGGAGGGAGAGGGGTGCAGCACGAAGGGGCGCTTAAGTGAGAGGCAGTGAGGGGTTTTCCACAGGCCCCACACGGGCTGCAGCAGAGAGAAAAGGGGGTAAGGGGGAAACGTCTCCTGGGAGGGGAACCAGACCGCAAATCAGACAACCCCCCCCCCCCCAGGAGGAAGGCTGGGTGCCGAAGAGTACCGGGTGAGTGTCAGCTTGGAACACAGTGGCGAGGGGCAACCCGGATGCAAGGTCCGCAGAGGGAGGGGAGGGAAGGCCGACACAGGGTCTCCCCCAGGGCGAAGCGGGCACGGCTGGCCGCAGGCCAACGGCCGGACTTGGGCCTCGCAGGGCCAAAAGGCGTGGCCAGGCACGGAACCTCGGTCCCGCCCGCCAGGACGGCGGGCCGGCCTCCCCTCCTTCCAGCCGGGCCCGGCCGTCCGAGGGCCGGCGCGCGAGGAGCCAGAGGGGGGTGGCGGGGACCCCGCGCGGCGCCCGCCCGCCCGCCCGCCGCGGCCGCCACCCCGCAGGGCTCTTACCTCCACACCTGCCCCATCTGCAGCAGGTGGATGACCGACTGCCAGATCCACACGGACAGGCGGCACAGGCGCTGCGCCCCCGGCGTGGCCGAGCCCCCCGCGCCGCCGCGGGCCGCGCCGTGGCCGTAGCCGGCCCCCATCATGGGGGGGCCCCGGCTGCTGAGCCCCTCCACGGCGCCCAGCCCGCCGCCCGTGTAGTCCTGCACGAACCAGCGGAAGCTCAGGCTCTGCACCAGCAGCGACGGCACCAGCACGAAGAAGAGGGTCAGCCCGAAGCAGCCGTAGTCCCCCTTGCGGTAGTAGTCGAGGGCCAGCCACAGGTCGGTGCCCACGTCCCCGAAGAACACCAGCAGCGCCAGCACGATCCACAGGCAGTCGAGCCACGGCCGCTCCACCTGCGGCGGCGGCTGCGGCCGCCCGGCCGAGGGCGTCGGGGGGCGGCGGCCGGGGCCCGCGGGCGGCTGCAGCGGCTGGTCCCCCCCGTCGGCGGCGGCGGCGGCGCTGCGGCGCGGCTTCCGGCCCAGGAGGGAGCGCAGGCAGGCGGAGCGGCAGCCCCAGTAGCACGAGGAGGTGTTGCAGCAGTGGCAGATGTGCAGCGAGCTGCTCTCGCCGGGCTCCGCGCCGTCGCCGCCGCCGCAGCCGCCGCCCCCGGGCTCCCCGTCCTCCTCGCCGCCGCTGCCCACCGCCTCGTCCAGGTTGTGCAGCTGGGCGAAGCCCACCCCCACGCCACCGCCATCGGATTTCGCCGCCATCTTGACTCTCTTCCCAGCTCCGGAGGTGGGGGGGGCGGGACGGGAGGGGGGAGAAGGCAGGGACCGGGGAGGGGGGGAAACGAGTGGAGAGGAAGGGGGGCGGGGAGGAGCGGGCGCGAACGAGCGGGGGGAGCGGGCCAGGGAACCCCCTCCGCTTCCGGGTGGCTGACGTCACTTCCGGGCGAGTCCCCCAATCGCACGGCGCCCGCCGCTCCCCGGCCCTACCCTCCCGGCCAAGATGGCCGCCCTCCTGCGCCTCAGCCGCTGGGCGGGGGGCCGGGGGGTTCTCCCCGCCAGGGCTCCCCTTCCCCTCTTCCGTTGACCCCGAAACCCATCAGGTTGACCCCTCGGCGTTTCAGAATCCCGCCGGGCCGAGTGGGGCGGTCCAAAGCGATCCCTGGAGGGGGCAGTGCCAGCCGTCTTGGGGCCCCCTTCCGCAGCGTCGCAGCTCGCGGCTCTCCTCCTGGCGGAACGCCCCCTGACACCCGCCCGGCCGCTGGCGGAGGGGCGGGGCCTCGGGGGGAAGGGGCGGAGCCAGCGCCGGCAGGTGATGGCGTGTCACTTCCGGGAGGGAGGATGACCTCATTGTGGAGTTAGACCACCCTCCACCCCCACCAAGATGGCTGTGTCTCCCCTCTTGGGCCGTGTTGCTGCTGCTCCTGTCTCGTTTACCTTCCACTCCTGCTTTTCTTGGGTTGAGGGCTCCACCTCAGCTTGGGTTCTTACTGACAGCACACTGCTCCTGCCTCCTGGAAGCCCTCTCCCCTCTGCTAACCCTGAGCTCTTGTCCCTGACAACTTTGTACTGTCGTTGGTGATCAAGTTTGCACCATCCCCTTAAGGCAGTTCCAGGCAGCTTCCAGTCAGGAATCAGCTGGGCTTGAGGGTTTCATCTTGGGGTGAGGATTGAATGGGCAGATTGTGTGACCTTGGGTATATTTCCTGCTCTATCAAAATGTACTTCGATGAATTTGTGTGTCATTTCTAACGTTCTATGACTTCCACTTGGAAAAGGCAGAACCAGGGCTTACCTTGTAGCTAGCAAATGCTTGCCTGACTGTTCTAATGTGTGAAGACTGTCTTTTAGAATTTTATTGGTGCTAAGGCTCTGTTAGTAAACATGGCTTTAAATGACTGAAAATGTTATTAATGTGCTATATCATTAAAATAGGTGCAGGATACACTCTTCGAACTTAGCTAACAAATCGCATAAGTGAAGCATCACTGAATGGATTTGAATTATAATGATCTTGCAGTGAGAGTATATTTTAAACGAAATAGAGGAAACTATGGTTCCAGTTGTTACCAGGTAAAATGAACATTTTGAAGATTAAAAAAAAAAATGAAAGAAAACAACAGATTTTCCTGACTGACCTCCCTGAATTTCAGAATTAAAATTTCTGATCCCGTCTACTTCTCCCCTCAGTAAACTTTTATAAGAATATATTTCTTCAGAATGTTAAGAGGACAAATCAGTAATATTTGTGTAGCATTGAAGTTCTGAGGAAAAAGTTATCTTTGATAGGGGCAGAGTAGGGACAAAATGAGGATACCATATTGTAGGATACAACTTTTCATGCCAAGGTAAAACTATAAAACCTGAGAAGATGCTTCTTTTGTCCCTGACATAACATTTGGGGGTGGGGAGTGATTCCAACTGTATTTTGTTTTTGTTTTTTTTTTTTTTGGTCGGTCGTGGGGCTTGAACTCTGGGCCTGGGCGTTGTCCCTAAGCTCTTCAGCTCAAGGCGAGCGCTCTACCACTTGAGCTACAGCGCCACTTCCGGTTTTCTGGTAGTTTATTGGAGATAGGAGTCTCACGGTCTCTCTTGCCCGGGCTGGCTTTGAACCGCAATCCTCAGATCTCAGCCTCCTGAGTAGCTAGGATTACAGGCGTGAGCCACCAGCGCCCGGCTGTATTTTGTTATTATTGAGGCAGACTCTCCATGTATAGATCCTAAGCTGGCTTCCATCTGCCTTAGCCTCCCAAACCCTGGGATTATACACATGGACCACCACACAGCTTCAAAATCTACTTTTTGAAATAAGTCATATAACTCCTCCTTGCTCTAGTAGTAAAACCTAGAGTTTACAGAGCTTACAGGTTAATGCTATTTTTGCATGTAAATAAGTTTCTGTTTCTTTACTTGAGTTTGAAGCAATAATGCCTTAAGCAGCCTACAAGTGGAGAACCAATGCCCCTGTTGGGACCGCAGTTCACCTGAAATGAATAACTTGAATCATGTGAGCAAGGTATCCTTGAAACCTCAGTTTCTATCTTTTGACCATAAGAACAATAAAAGGTGCCCTCTTTGAAAATTTGCTAGTCAGCAATTTATACCACCAGATATATAGCCGGTGGCAAAAGAAGCATTAACTTTTTATCATTGCTACCATTATTGTTAATATGATTACATAGTACCAACATATGTGCTTAAATTCTATCAAATAGATTCAGTATCTCTAAAAAAGCATTTTGAAATCCTTCTAGGAAATAGGTGGAATTAATTTGTGCTTTTAAGTATATTTTCTCTATTTAAGCTATGAGGCTGTGAAATGGAATACAAAGGCAAGCAGTAATGGCATAGTTATGAATCCTATTTCTCCATGCCTTGAAAGAACACAATCCACTAGTGAAATTAGCTAAGTAAATTGTAGTAAGACTGACAAATGAGATTATGAGTCAAAAGTGTTCATCACAATTGAAATTTCAAATATATATATATATATAATTCAAAGACTGTCAAGGATTTCAACTCTATATGTGCTGGCAAAACAACTTTTTAGTTTTCTGTCTGCCATGGAAAATGGACATTCAGAACCCAGAACTTTCTAAAATTAGAATCAGTTGTGGTTATAATAAACTTATGGTGAACACTTGTGGGAAGGTTAATGTGACTTTGTACAGGGCTGTGAATGGTGCGTCTTTTAACCCAGAACTTGCAAGCAATTAAAGGTTCTGAGTAAGTCCAGCACTTAGAAAAATGTTAACATTCAATAAATATTGGATAAACAAATGAGTTGATTGATTTTCTAGATAGCATCATACTTTGTGTGTTTGTACTGGTCCTGGGGCTTAAAACTCAGGGTGTGGGCTCTGTCTCTAAGCTTTTTGGTTCAGGCTAGCACTCTACCACTTAAGCCATAGCTCCACTTCTAGCTTTTTGGTGGTTAGTTGGAGATAAAGAGTCTCACAGACTTAACTGCCTGGCTTCGAACTGCCATTCTCAGATCTCAGCCTCCTAAGTAGCTAGAGATTAGAAACATAAGCTACCAGCACCTTGCAACCTCAGACTTTTTTAACTCCCCAAATTGCAATTTATGTATTAAAATGTGAATCTTAAATGAAACTTACCTCATTGGCATAATACGCAGATATTTCCATCTTGAATTAAATGGGGTAAAATGAACATAAATATGTTGCCCATTGACCTTCTTTCTCTCTACCAATCAGGTAGGTGACCTCTTATTTGTATGTTTATTTATTTATTTATTTTGGTGATAGGGATTGAACCTAGAGCCTCACATGTGCTAAGTACATGCTGTACCACCCAAGCTATACCCTAGCTCCAATCTACCTTTTCTTGACCTTGAGGGAGACTTGTGCTATGAGATGAGATTCTGATTGTTGCCTGAATTTGGAAGAATAATTCCTTAAGTGGTTTAAGTATGGAGTACAATTGCTCTGGTTTTGATTCCAGTTGCCCAAAATGTAATATGCATAATGTGCCTATCTAGGCCTACACCTCTGTTGGTGGTAGTGATAGTAGCAGGTTTTTCTCTAACCATTTATTTTGTAATCTCTGTTTTCTATAGTTTAATCCATTAACAATTTTGACCCCTATAGTAGTCGTCCTATATTGTCTGGGAAGCCAAACAACAAAGCATGTTGTATTTACATGGAAACTAATAATATATTTTTAAGGTTCTGTGAGTGTAGTAAGGTAGCATTACTAAGGAAATTTTGTGACATAAAACTTAGCTATTTAGGGGCTGGGAAAGTGGCTCAGTGGTAGAGTGCTTGCCTTGCATGCCTGAGTCCCTGGGCTCGCTTCCTCAGCACCACATAAGCAGAAAAAAGCCAGAAGTGGCACTATGGCTCAAATGGGAGAGCTCTAGCCCTGAGCTGAAGAGCTGAGAGACAGCCCCCAGGCCCAGAGTTCAGGCCCCCACGGCCGACAGACAAAAAACAAAAACTTAGCTGTTTAAAAACCTTTAGGTTTCCCCCCACCCCCAGTTCTCTGCTGTTTTCAGAAAGGCAGAAGGGGAAAGTTAGTGTTGAGTATTAAACACTCTCCCAAATGTTATTCCTCTTAATATTATGACAGGCCAAAAAGACATCAGGATTAGTTCTCCATTTTGGTAATCTAAATACACCCTCAGTTCTGCCAAATGACTTAACCTTGAGTCACACTCTTGAGAGAGAGAGGGTAAACTTGGTTTGAATCAGGCAGATATCATTCCAATGTCTATGCCACTTACCCCTATGCCACCTGCCCTCCCTTTGTTCTGGCCCAGCAAGCTAGTGACAGATCTAAATAAAATGAAAGTTACTGTCACAGTCACAGGAGGGACTCCATTACCCCAAAGTATTGGCAAATCCAGGAGAATGGACCTTTGCATTCTTACATGGGGATAAACCTCAGCAAAAACATTTTTTCAAAGTTTCCGTATATGTTCTTCACAGGCTTGAGCCTGAATAAAGTTCTACAACACTAGGTAAGTGTTATCCTCATCAGTTCTGTGGCTGGTATCTTACTGACTTGTATAGGACTTCATTGAGTACTGCAGAGTAAACTCAGAGAACCCATTATCCCTAGAAGCTGCATTGCTGTATTTGATGCTGAGAAGTCAACTGTTCACAAGCACTCTCATACAATGTTGTCAGTAACACAATCTCTGCAGAGGGGAACTAGACACTCTATCAAAATTAAAAATGCAATTACCACTAGGTGCCAGGGGCTTACACCTGTAATCCTAGCTTCTCAGAAGACTGAGATCTTAGGATCACAGTTCAAAGCCAGCCT